CTTACACTATAGATGTCTTTTGCCAGCGATGCTATGAGCATATTTCCACTAATACTATAGATATTTCTCGTTAATACCATAGGCCTTTCTTTACATGTTGTATTGTTGTAATTTACACAAAGCTCGTGTCAATATTTCTGTCGATATGTGAATTGAGTAGCTATAAACATATTACACTGAAGTCTTTTGGATTTTCTGTCACTTGCTTTATTACTCTGGAACACAGCCTAGGAACCGCTGCTACAGACACGTTATACTCTACGTAATATAGGCAAGTCTTTACCATAGACAGGAAATGCAGTTATTCATCAATATCATAGACATCACATACTATAGATGGTATGTAAGCTTAATACAATAGATGATACAAACATTTTACGCTATAGATACAGTAGATATTGCTTACTTCAGTTTCCACAGCTGGCATTCGCTAGCACTATATATTCCTTACTATTAAAACTATAAAACAGGTATAGCAGGTCTCGCTGAACATAATTACACTGTAAGTTGACTACTTCTACGAAGTGTATGGATGTTCGTCAGTGAAGGAGATCGAGTGGGAATTTCACAACGGGAAAATTGAAGCTTTTGTTCGTGAATTTTCTCTTTTAGAATTTGATGATAGAGAGATAATCTCTATTTCTGAATACGAGTTGGGGGAGAAGAGGAGGGAGATAAGAGGTAGAGAAGAAAAAAATAACGTTTTAGAGATACCTGGAATTATATATATATATACATATGTACATATATGAATACACACCACACACACGCATACACACACAGATATATGTATATTTATGTATATATACATGATATATATAAAAACATACATATATCATATAGTCTCATCATTCCATCCGGAAGGTATAGGATCGGTGGATTCTATGGCTATGAAAATGCTTTATATTCCTTACACTATAGATGTCTTTTGCCAGCGATGCTATGAGCATATTTCCACTAATACTATAGATATTTCTCGTTAATACCATAGGCCTTTCTTTACATGTTGTATTGTTGTAATTTACACAAAGCTCGTGTCAATATTTCTGTCGATATGTGAATTGAGTAGCTATAAACATATTACACTGAAGTCTTTTGGATTTTCTGTCACTTGCTTTATTACTCTGGAACACAGCCTAGGAACCGCTGCTACAGACACGTCATACTTTACGTAATATAGGCAAGTCTTACCATAGACAGGAAATGCAGTTATTCATCAATATCATAGACATCACATACTATAGATGGTATGTAAGCTTAATACAATAGAAGATACAAATATTTTACGCTATAGATACAGTAGATATTGCTTACTTCAGTTCCACAGCTGGCATTCGCTAGCACTATATATTCCTTACTATTAAAACTATAAAACAGGTATAGCAGGTCTCGCTGAACTTAATTACACTGTAAGTTGACTACTTCTACGAAGTGTATGGATGTTCGTCAGTGAAGGAGATCGAGTGGGAATTTCACAGCGGGAAAATTGAAGCTTTTGTTCGTGAATTTTCTCTTTTAGAATTTGATGATAGAGAGATAATCTCTATTTCTGAATACGAGTTGGGGGAGAAGAGGAGGGAGATAAGAGGTAGAGAAGAAAAAAATAACGTTTTAGAGATACCTGGAATTATATATATATATACATACACACATACACACATGTATATTTTTGCTCGTGTGTTGTGTGATTAGTAATAATAAAAAAATGATTTAATCTATATTTTTTGGAAATGTTTTAAAAATAGATTCATAGTCTGCAGGTGGTAACTGTATGAATAGAAGATGTATAAGAGGTTGATATACACATAACTATATCCCTTCCTTGCTCGGTAGCGATACGGTTGAACATTAAGAAGTCAATCTAGCTTTCCTATATATCATCAGATTGGCTTGTTTCCCTGAGCATCAAAATCACTTGACTTTACAATCCACACAGACAAAGAGGAAGAAAAGTACTGCACAATAATCTCTTCAATAACGTAGTGACATTTTCGAATGACGGTAACACTACCAGATGTCTCCCTCGTTCTTCTCAAAAGCGAATTCAGCCATTTCTAGAATCGCGTTCACTCAAAAGCTGTGGCAATAACCGAAATTCAAAGCACATTCAGTATATGCACACACAGATATTTTCAAAAGTAGACTCCAAGGATGAAGAAATTCGAAGGATACCTTCTGATGATGTGTAATGGAAGCACAAATGCAGGAAAATGTTCATTTCATCATAAGTGTGAATAGCTGTAGTTCTATTCCACCTCCTGGACCGAGGCTCAGAAGGGACAGGGTGAGGGTTAAGACACAAAGATCTTTCTACTTCTTTATTATGAAGTATCGTTACTTTGGTACATTTCCTCTGATAAGCAAAATGACCTAGTTCAGTTTTTTGTTTATTTTTTTATAACAAACACACACAAAATAATAATATATCAAAACAACATATTAACAGCCGCCAATCATGCCAGATGTTTCCATCGCTCTTCTCAAGCTTCCTTGATTCCTGTCAGAATCGTCCTGCTGCTGTTGAGGAATCGCCAGCGCCTCCCTCGGTCTGGCGTCCGCGTCCGCTGCCTCAGCCGTGATGTCCGTAAGGCCTGCGGACGAAGGGACGAAGGCATGAGCGGCGTCGGGAAGGGAAGGGCGGAAAGGGAAGGAGATTTAATAAACAAAGCGAAGAAAGTTTACCACTTGAGTGAGAAAGACTGAGAGGAGGGCAAGCGATGGCGACTCAGACAGACAGATGGCTACCAAATCAACAGTGAAGAGGGACGTATTAGGGGAAGGTTACATCAGTATTCATTAAAGAAAAGGATTACCTGATGAAGCAGAGGACTTCGATCAACGATAATTGCAAAACGATGACTGAGAAAAACATTTCTAAAGAGTGACCTAACTAGCGTCGACGAAGGAGGATCCTTGGGCGCTCACCTGTTGTATCCGTAGGAGGGTCGGCCGTAGCCGACGGAGCCGTGGGAGCCGTAGGAGCCGTGGGATGAGCCGTGGAAGCCGTGGGATGAGCCGTGGAAGCCGTGGGATGAGCCGTGGTAGGACGGCCTGACGTAGCCTCCGTAGCCTGGCATCGCGAAGGCCACGGACACGAGGGCGATCAGGGCCACGACGACCAGCTGGAAGGGCGTGAGGGCGTGAGAACGGACGGCGGTTTTGTATTTCTCAAAGATCCTTCTCTCTGTCTCTCTCTCTCTCTCGAAATAAAACATTATAGCAAAACTTACAGAGATCTTATGATAGAAATTAGTATGAGACGGAACGGAATTAAATTCGAAATTTATAATTGAATTTGCTCCTTTCTTATTTCTCTACTTACAACAGCTCGAACGGAAATCATCCTGAGTAGTAGTATGCAAAGTTGAGTTCCTGCAACAGATGAAGGCAGCTAATGGGTTGCAGTGGGACTCCCTACATCTTTATATATTCCGTCTACCTTTAGTCCCTCGGTTGCTGAATATTTTTTTTCATAAACCATTTGAATCGTAACGATAATGATCTTATCTTCCAGGTGGATTAGATAATACTAATTAAACCTTCATTAACACCTAGTAGGTTAATCAATAACACTTTCTAATTACCCGCTAATGTAGGGAAACGAAAGCAAGGAGAATGAGAAACTTGGCAACTCAGGTGGCCCAGCTGATCGAGGAAGCTCCGCCGGCCAAAACTTTCCTAGTTGCGAGCGGGGAATTCCCGGCGTAGAAAAACCTAAAACAAAACTAAGAGAAAAAAGTCGCCGCAGAAGGGAGTTTGACGGTTGCTCAGAAACGGTCCCTCTTGTGGTGAAAGGAAGGGGTGAAGGGAGAAGAGGGGGTGGGGGGTGAGGGAAACAAAGCATAGGACTCTGTATGTGTGTGTATGTATATATATGTGTGTGTGTGGGTGGATGTGGGAGTTTATATATATACATATATATCTAAGTATATATATGTGTGTGTGTGTTTATATAAACACATACGTATATACATGTTTATACATATATATATATACATATATATACATATATATGTATGTATATAAGTTTATATAAATGTGTGTGTTAATATAAGCACATTCGTGTATACATGTATATATATGTATATATATGTATATATATATATATTTGTGTGTGTGTGTATGCATATATGCTTATATAAACACACATATATGTGCGTGTGTGTGTGTGTATTTGTACGTATGTGGATGCGTTTAGAATTGGAAAATGGATTCTGATAATACTAGGTTTCATCATCAAATCTCTTCTCATGAGAAATTCAGTATATTTTGTACTCAGATATTTCAACACTATAATGCTCTCAATGTTCGCAGGCAAGAGATTATTCATAGTATTCATAGACGTATATAGTATCTGACAAAAAGAAATGTCTGTGGTATTTATACGAGATATTAGAACTAAATATCTGAAGTAGACAGTGTAAATAACGTTGCATTTACAGTAAGCAATTCTTATATTATATATATGAGAAATATCTACACTGTCTATAGGTAGCAATAACGATGAATGTGTATCTAAAATATCTACACTCTCCATGATAGTAATAGCAAGACTCAGTCATTAAGATACCTAAGTTATGGTAGCAATAGAATATCTCTTAAAAATACTTACAGAATCTACGGCAGAATTATTTATTTAGATCATCAGTCCCTCAATGCGTCACAGCGATGCTTGGGTAAATTCCACCGACCCTTGTGTCTTCCATGTAAAAAAAATGAAGGAAAAATGATTATGTTGCCAGGAAATTCCCGGGAATTTCGGGCAGGAAAATGTCTGGAATAAACTGCTATGAGAACTGACCCCCAAGGTTGCCAGATACTGTTTATTACGTGGGCGTTTCTCCGATAGTGAATCCATATCTCAGACGTTACGTTATCTATGTTAGAGAATCTCAAGACTTGATTTTATCTATTGTGGAAAAAAAAAACGATAAGAAATGAAGCAGCAATCGGGATAAATATACTGGATAAGTATACGAAGTGGCAACTGGACCTAGAGAAGCAAGTGGGTTCAGAATATATAAAAACACGGCTGAGGAAGAGTGCATCAGTCACTGAACTTCCACTGCCTGCTGTTGCAAGACAAAGCCTGAGCAAGATGATTTCCGTACGAGCTGTTGTGAGTATGAAATAGGAAATAGAGATCATTATTTTGATACATTCAGATGCCCAAAAGAGATTACCATAATGAGATTTATCTTCCGCATTAAAGTGTACGATATTTTAATGTGATTTAGGAGAGGATAACTAAATTAACCTATTGCTTCAATATATCCGATAACTTTATTGCAAAACATATTTCCACTTCTTACTGTAATATTTCATAATGACCAATGCACCGCCGTCCGTTCTCACGCCTCACGCCCTTCCAGCTGGTCGTCGTGGCCCTGATCGCCCTCGTGTCCGTGGCCTTCGCGATGCCAGGCTACGGAGGCTACGTCAGGCCGTCCTACCACGGCTCATCCCACGGCTTCCACGGCTCATCCCACGGCTTCCACGGCTCATCCCACGGCTCCTACGGCTCCCACGGCTCCGTCGGCTACGGCCGACCCTCCTACGGATACAACAGGTGAGCGCCCAAGGATCCTCCTTCGTCGACGCTAGTTAGGTCACTCTTTAGAAATGTTTTTCTCAGTCATCGTTTTGCAATTATCGTTGATCGAAGTCCTCTGCTTCATCAGGTAATCCTTTTCTTTAATGAATACTGATGTAACCTTCCCCTAATACGTCCCTCTTCACTGACTGATTTGGTAGCCATCTGTCTGTCTGAGTCGCCATCGCTTGCCCTCCTCTCAGTCTTTCTCACTCAAGTGGTAAACTTTCTTCGCTTTGTTTATTAAACTTCCTTCCCCCTTCCGCCCTTCCCTTCCCGACGCCGCTCATGCCTTCGTCCCTTCGTCCGCAGGCCTTACGGACATCACGGCTGAGGCAGCGGACGCGGACGCCAGACCGAGGGAGGCGCTGGCGATTCCTCAACAGCAGCAGGACGATTCTGACAGGAATCAAGGAAGCTTGAGAAGAGCGATGGAAACATCTGGCATGATTGGCGGCTGTTAATACGTTGTTTAATATATTATTGTTATTTTTTGAAGAGAAAACTGAATTAGGTGTTTCTGTTATCGGAGGAAATGTACCAAAGTAACGATACGTCATAATAAAGAAGTAGAAAGAATTTTGTGTCTTAACCCTCACCCTGTCCCTTCTGAGCCTCGGTCCAGAAGGTGGATTAGAACTACAGATATTCACACTTATGATGAAATGAACATTTTCCTGAATTTCTATGTTTGCATAAACTAAATGTGATTTGAATTTCGGTTATTACCATAGCATTGGAGTGAAGGCGATTCTAGAAATGACTGAATTTGCCTTTGAGAAGAACTAGGGAGACATCTGAAAGTGTTATTGTCATTCGCAAATGTTACTGCGTTATTGAAGAGATCATTGTAAATGAATAGCTTTATTTAATGCACAACCTTGTCGTTTCCGGGCAAGGAAGGGATATAATTATGCGTAAATGCATGATGAAATCAAAACTATTTTTCTTTCACACAATACACGGACGAAAACACATCTACGTGGTCATTTATACACACATATATATACATACTGAATGTCAGTTATATCACTTAAAACGTTTTTTCTCTCATTCTTCTATACTTTCTTCTCTGTCTCCCATCTACCCCCTCTTCATCCCCCAACTCGTATTGAGAAATAAACATTATCTTGCTTTCTATCATTAGATTCTAAAACAGGAAAAGTGACAAACAAACAAAAGCTTCACTTCTTCCCGCTGTGAAATTCCCGCTCGATCTTCTACGCTGACGAACATCCATACATTTCGTTCAGTTAGTGAATTTTCAGTGTAATTATGTTCAGCGAGACCTGCTATACCTGTTTATAGGCTTTAACAATATGGAATTTGTAGTGTTAGTGAATGACAACTTTGGAAATTGAAGTAAGGAATAGCTACTGCATCTATAGTGTAAAATATCTGTACCATCTATTGTATCAAGCTTTAATACATTCTGTGTGATATCCATAATATTGATGAATAACTGCATTTCGTGTACATAGTAAGACTTGCCTATATTACGTAAATCATGAAATATCAGCAACAGTTGTTCCCAAGCTGTGGGCAAAAAAAAAAAAAAAAAAATCCACGAGTCTTCTGAGTAATAAGCTTAGAGTGGCTCATTTAATGCACACGTAGAAAGACATATTGACACTAGTTTTGGGAGAGAATATAACGTGAAGAAAGGTCTGCGGATTTCACAGCAAGGAATGTCTATAGTATCATCAATAAAAAGCATCGTTGATAAGAGATATCTATAGTGTTAGAAATAAAAGAGTATGTTCATATTCATACACGGTAGATTCCACCGATCATCGTACCTTCCGGGTGGAATAACGAGACATGTATGTACGTGGAATATATATGTGTGTGTGTGTTTGTGTATATATATCTGCGTGTGTTTAGTTGTCTGCGTATGTATGTATGAATATATTCCGAGTGGAAGGGTAAATCCCGGGAACTTCTAGTGACGCTGGGAAAGTTTCGGAAAATGTCCTATGGAGACTGACCTCTGAATTTGCCAATTCTTGTTTACTGTGTTCCATTTCGTGATACTTCAAATCAGAATCGTAACACTGTGAATGTTAAAGAATCTCAGGACTAGTTTCTCTCTGATGATTCATCGAAATAAGAAATAAAATAATGTTTACGGTACGGAATGTCGAGGATTAATACGATATGGCAACCTGCGCAGAAGTAGCGAGCGGCGCCCGACTATATAAAGGCGCAGCAACAGCGTATGCAACATCAGTCACTGAGCTTAGCCTCTTCTGTTGCAAGTAAAACAAACACTGAACACGATGTCTTCCCTACGAGCTGTTGTAAGTATGAAATAGGAAACAGAGATTTAATTTGGTTTCTTTCGAGGCAAAACCGGATCCATATATTTCTTACAGGAAAGATCCCTGTTTTAGGGAAGAATAAGTAATGTTCATTTGCGATTTCCCTTTTTATCGGATATGATAGATAGAGAGAAAGAGTTTTCATAAGTACAAAACCGCCGTTCGTTCTCACGCCCTCACGCCCTTCCAGCTGGTCGTCGTGGCCCTGATCGCCCTCGTGTCCGTGGCCTTCGCGATGCCAGGCTACGGAGGCTACGTCAGGCCGTCCTACCACGGCTCATCCCACGGCTTCCACGGCTCATCCCACGGCTTCCACGGCTCATCCCACGGCTCCTACGGCTCCCACGGCTCCGTCGGCTATGGCCGACCCTCCTACGGATACAACAGGTGAGCGCCCAAGGATCCTCCTTCGTCGACGCTAGTTAGGTCACTTTTTAGAAATGTTTTTCTCAGTCAACGTTTTGCAATTATCGTTGATGGAAGTCCTCTACTTCATCAGGTAATCCTTTTCTTTAATGAATACTGATGTAACCTTCCCCTAATACGTCCCTGTTCACAACTGATTTGGTAGCCATCTGTCTGTCTGAGTCGCCATCGTTTGCCCTCCTCTCAGTCTTTCTCACTCAAGTGGTAAACTTTCTTCGGTTTGTTTATTAAACCTCCTTCCCCCTTCCGCCCTTCCCTTCCCGACGCCGCTCATGCCTTCGTCCCTTCGTCCGCAGGCCTTACGGACATCACGGCTGAGGCAGCGGACGCGGACGCCAGACCGAGGGAGGCGCTGGCGATTCCTCAACAGCAGCAGGACGATTCTGACAGGAATCAAGGAAGCTTGAGAAGAGCGATAGAAACATCTGGCATGATTGGCGGCTGTTAATACGTTGTTTTGATATATTATTATTTTGTGTGTGTGTTTGTTATAAAAAAATAAACAAAAAACTGAACTAGGTCATTTTGCTATCCAAGGAAATTTACCAGAGTAACGATACTTCATAATAAAGAAGTAGAAAGATCTTTGTGTCTTAACCCTCACCCTGTCCCTTCTGAGCCTCGGTCCAGGAGGTGGAATAGAACTACAGCTATTCACACTTATGATGAAATGAACATTTTCCTGCATTTGTGCTTCCATTACACATCATCAGAAGGTATCCTTCGAATTTCTTCATGCTTGGAGTCTACTTTTGAAAATATCTGTATGTGTGCATATACTGAATGTGCTTTGAATTTCGGTTATTGCCACAGCTTTTGAGTGAACGCGATTCTAGAAATGGCTGAATTCGCTTTTGAGAAGAACTAGGGAGACATCTGAAAGTGTTATTGTCATTCGCAAATGTCACTGCGTTATTGAAGAGATCATTGTAAATGAATAGTTTTATCTAATGCACAATCTTGTCGTTTCCGGGCAAGGAAGGGATATAATTATGCGTAAATCAGCCTTTTAGTTATAATGAAATAGTCGTTTCTCATACATTTTCCATTTATTCAGTTATCACCTGTACATGTATTACGGAAGGCCTCAGGCAGTGAATATGCTGTTTTAGACAGTATATACCTGACTACAAACATTTCCAAAAAAACTTCTACATGATGAAATCAAAACTATTTTTCTTTCACACAATACACGGACGAAAACACATCTACGTGGTCATTTATACACACATATATATACATACTGAATGTCAGTTATCACTAAAACGTTTTTTCTCTCATTCTTCTATACTTTCTTCTCTGTCTCCCATCTACCCCCTCTTCATCCCCCAACTCGTATTCAGAAATAAACATTATCTTGCTTTCTATCATTAGATTCTAAAACAGGAAAAGTGACAAACAAACAAAAGCTTCACTTCTTCCCGTTGTGAAATTCCCGCTCGATCTTCTACGCTGACGAACATCCATACATTTCGTTCAGTTAGTCAATTTTCAGTGTAATTATGTTCAGCGAGACCTGCTATACCTGTTTAATGTGAAATTAATAAAATAATAAGAAACTTTACTTCTTGCCATATTTATTATCATTATTATCATCACTATATGAATCAAGATAATTATTCTTATAATAGCATCAGCATAACTTTTATCATTATTATCAATTTTATCATTTTCATTATTATCATAGATAGATAGATAGATAGAGAGAGAGAGACAGAGAGTGAGAGATAGATAGATAGATAGAGAGTGAGAGCGAGCAGACGGACAGCCACTCTGGGTCAGTCACCAAGGGCAAAGTCCCTCACAATAACTTTTCACTTTTTGGAAACATATGCATATGACATATGTCTTCATGTGGGTATGTTTATATATATATATATATATATATATATATATATATATATATATATATATATATATAAATTTATCCACACACTCAGAAACACATACACACATATATGTGTGTGTGTATTTCTGAGTATATATATATATATATGTGTGTGTGTGTGTATGTATACATATATGTATCTATATCTATATCTTTATCTACATATGTTTGCATATATGTATATCTAGCTATCTATCTGTCTATCTATCTATATATATGCATATATGTATATATATACTATATAGATAGATAGATAGATAGATAGATAATTATATATATATATATGAACCGTATCCATGTTGACAGAGAGATATACATGTATTTCTGACGAAGACATAACCGAAATCTGGGTCGTGGTCAGGGGCTATCAAGGAAGCAGATTAAAGGCCCCAAAGTTTTTTCTTTGCTCGTAGTTCCATCTGACTAAGAATGCCATCTCTGCCATTTATCCAGGAGGACTAAACTTCTGCCAGACTTATTCTGCATCTGCCGTGAACAAGCCGTTGCACAGATAAACGCCTTCTGCAGAAACCACTGCCCTGTTGCCAGCATCTTCACCGCAACCCTGGCACGCGAGCTCATAGGCTACTATCCTTGAACCTAATGGGGGAGGGTGTGTATATATATACACAAACCTGTATATATACACACATCTGTATAGATATATCAGCATATATATTTTTTTCTCTCTTTCTTTCATTTATTTATCTATTTACATAAGATTGATTCATCCGATTCTTCTTAGAAATAACTTTCTCTTTTTGAGGAGGCAGCCAGACGGGGAATCCCTGGCAACATCATGGAAAGTAAAACGCACATGGGAACATTCGCATCAATATTTTTATGCTGATTTAC